GTGTGTGTGTGTGTTCATCAGTTAGAGAAAGGAGTTATTGTTTTTTTGTTGTACAGTATAATTTGCACCTTCTGTCCATCTCCTCAGGCAGGATCTGCAGCAGGTTTTGCGTCTTGCTAACCACACACAGTAGCAGGCAGACTGTGGAACTGAACTGTGGGGGATTTTGCAAAAAAAGAAGAATGTGATGTTCACTTGACTGTTCTTGGGTGTAATCAGTTGGTGAGTACAGCAGTGAATAAACTCTTACTGATTAGATATGTTCTCATTCACAAATCACATCAAATGAAAAGCTGTTGGAAAATCTGCCTTCGAGCTGATAACGATGACGGCACTGCTTGAAAAAGAAAATATTGCCTTAAAACCCATACCAAACTGTGCGTGTTCAAGACATTCTGACTCCATTCATAACTTCTGACCAGTAATGTATGTGAAAGAACTGCAGCGCTCCTCGCAGCGCTCCTCAGATACGTAGCGTCTCCCCCTCTGGATGTATCTCAAATGTACCATGACAACCTGTCATGCTCTGCTATACGCGCCTGCAGCCAAACAGAAGGGTTCATTCCCCATCACTGATCAGCAGTAAGCGGGCATCTGCGTGTCTCTTGTTGAAAGAGTTTACTGCTACAGCAGCTACATGACAACACAAAGTTTTAGCATGTGTGCGTATTAGGGCATCGGCATGCACGTGTTGAGTAAATGAGTGCATATGTACGTGTGTGTGTGTCCATACTGTGGCCGAGGGCTTACATGTCTCATACACTGGGATAAAGGCAGTGGTGCAGTGATGAGCGCCTAATCTGAGTGTACGTGATTGGTCCGCCGAGGCTAGAGAGATTTGAGCGTTTGACTTGTTAAAAGGGATGTTCTTCACTTGGAGCCTCGTTGGCCCTGACATAACTGGGACATAATTCTCCTTGTCAAAGCTAATAATCAATTCCCACTATGAGGATAATCTGACAGCAGACCCCCACTGAGAACGATGCCTCACAACGCAAGCTGTCGTCACTTCCCCATATATTAATAACAGTAGAAACTGTTACCAGTAGCAACTAGGAAAAAAAAAAAAAACTCATGGTCTCGTGGTCCCTGTTCACAAGTCAGTAAACACTTGACAATGGGACTGATCTTCACTGTGCGCTTTGATGTTGGAGTTTGATGCTAATGACCAACAATACAGCATATCAGGGAGATTGCCTGTGTCTGCAAATTTGGCGAAAGATAAAGGAGCGCTCATTCCTCCAGGCTCTGTATGTGTGTCCAAACCAAATGACCTCCAAAGATCTACTTTGATTCGTTAAATCAGAACACCAGCTATTGTGTATATACCCAGTCTGCCAAAACATTAAAACCACTGACAGATGCAGCGAATAGCATTGATTATCTTGTAAAAGGAAAAAAAAAAAAAAAAGAAAGAAAAAAGGGGCCCCCGTCGAGGGCTGGGATATCTTTGGCAATGAGTGAAGAGTCAGTTCTTGAAGTTGTTGTTGTGGCAGGAAAAATGGGCAGCGTGAGGATGTGAGCGACTTTGACAAGGACCACATTGTGACGACTAGACGGCTGGCTCAAGGCATCTCCGAAACAACAGGTCTTGTTGTGTGTTCCTGGAAGTGGAAATGGTTTGAAGCTACTAAAAGTGGTTCAAAGAAGGACAACAGCAAATGGGTCATGAGCACCCAAGGCTTATTGATGCACATGTGGAATGAAGGTTGGCCTGTGTGATCTAATCCCACAGAGGAGTACGACTGAAGGGCAAATTACTAGAAACGCTTACTGTTGGCAATGATAGAAAGATGTCAGAACACACAGGATATCATAGCTTTCACAGCCAAAAGCATTGACAATGGTCACGTGTGTAGAACTGGACCATACAGCAAAGGGAGAAGGTGGCCTGGTTTGATGAATCTTATTTTTTTTTCACATTATGTGGACAACCAGGTGTGTTTGTTGTTTACCCGGGTGAGAGATGAGGATACACTTTGGGGAGAAGGCAAGCCAGTGTGATGCTCTAGGGAATGTTATGCAGGGACACCCTAGAATTTATATCGATGTTACTTTGACAACCTAAATATTGTTGCAGACCAAGCTCCCTGCCACACTGCAAACATTGTTCAAGGATGTTTTGAGGAGCATGAAAAAGAGTTCAACCTCCACAGATTTACATGCAATCAAGCATCTGTTAGAAGTGCTTGAAGAACAAGTCCGATCCATAGAAGCCACGCCTTGCAACATGTGGGATCTGCAGTTCACATCTTGGTGCCTGACATCACAAGACACCTTCAGTGCTCTTGTGGAGTCCAGGCCTAGATGGGTCAGAGCTGTTGTGGTGACACAAGGGGAACCTTAGAGGAGGAGGTCACTGCAAATCAATACAAAGTTGTTTTGTGGGATCACCTTTGTCCTGGGATAAGACTTTTCTATCCTGATGGGAATCATTTACAGGCTACCAGATCTCAACCCAGTGAAACACCTATGGGACATTTTGGACCGATGTGTCAGACAGTGCATTTTTTTTTTTCCCCCTTTGTGGGTACATAACCTGTGTATGGCATCAGGTGTCCCCCAGGGGGTGGCGAGATGAGCTGGGCTGCGGCATCGTTCCTCATCTGGACGGAACATTAATAACGCAGGGACCTGGGGAGAAAGCTCCATCTGGGCCAAGCTGGTGCACTGCTGAGGGTACAGACCACTGACTCTACAAGTCTATAATCCCTCACATACTGCAATGGCAGCCCGTGGGGCTCAGTTGACAAACACGTAACTTTCAGATGTAGCTTTTTCTAGACAACCAAAAAAAAAAAACCCTTGAACGAAGTGGCCCTTTTTTCCTCCCATGTCCACTTATTCTCACACTTACAGAAAAGATCCCTTAATTAAATGGTGTGCGTTTGTACACCTGACACTTCTGACTACAAATGAGCTCTTATGAATAATCATGTAATTATTTCGTATGCCCTTCAGCCTTTATCCCGTGGTGGGTGTTAAATAAATAACAAACGGCCCGATTCACTTTCAAGCAGGTGAAAATTATCCAAGTAAGGAGGTAAAGGGCTCGACTCAGAGAAGTAAAATTATTCGGAGGTCAGGTCACCATAGCTCAAAAGGGGCAGTGATGCTCAATACTGTAGCTTATTGGTGCTCAGTGACTTGTCATTTCCATTTTTATTACCACCCCTTCTATGAGTGCTTGTTAATCAATACGCTAACAACATGGATTCTCTCACTGCGGGAGCTTGAAGCATGGAGGCATGAAGTGTTTACACCAGCCCCTACTTCTCCACCTCCAGGCCTCGGTCTGTACATTTTTTTGATTCATATATCTTTGTCCGACTTTTTCTGACAGCTTCTTCAGATTTCTCCAATCCATTGTAACAAAAACTAAAAAAAATAAAAAATAAAACACATCCAGCTATATTCACCTTTTATCTTTCAGCTAACACTTTTCATCTGAAGGTCTGTGGTGTAATTTCAAGAAAATGTCTCAGTCGGATGTTCAGGTTTTCAGGTATTTTACAGAGTCTGTCTAAGCCGTGTACATGAAAAAGGGACAACCTGTGTGAAAGGAGTCCAAAGTCTATCTCCTCTGTTCGGTGCTGCAGAGGAGTGGTTGTAATTCATATTCTAGGATCTTCTTGAGTGTCAGCTGTGGCTAACCAACCTTGTGAAGCCCAGTGAACAGGCCTGTCTGCCCCCTCATGTAACATAGCTCATAATGAAGATGCTTTGGTGTCATTTCTGCGGGCAGTCAGAGATGATCTTGATCTCGGCTCAAGGTGGAGGTGAAAAGATCGAGACTGAGGAGCAATAAATGAGCTCTGTGGAGTGAAGGAGCGTCGCAGTTCTGTCTCAGTAGACTTGTGACTTCCTGTCAGCTTTTTTTTTTCTCCTCTTCCTTTTTTCCCCCCCTCTGCCTGATTGTTTTTCTCAGCTGAGGTAATTCAGGTGCACTAGCCTGGAGCTTCCCTGACTTGTGTTTATTAGTTATTCATTTCCATCAGCCTGAGATGCCTTGGGCGATGTGAACTGCAACGTGCTCCCTGTTCAGGTGTTCAGCAGCCCAAATGGATCATCCTCTATCTCCCATGATGCCCAGCAGCAAAGCTCTACTGGGTTCTCAACGGTTGAATGTATTTTTGTTGTAAGAAACATCACAGAGATGATGGGAAACAGTTAGATTTGAATATTCTGTGAGACTTGATCTGATGTGTTTATTAAAGCCTGTGAAGAACTTTGAAATAATCCTTTCTTTCAGATGTGTAAGTGCATAACGTGTACACGCTGAAGTGGTTTAATCTATAGCAACGCATGTTTTTACATCCTTATTGCATGTCTTAAATAAAACTAGTAACAAGTGGCTCACACATTTTCGTAATGGAGTATAAAGTACAATATTTCCCTCTGATGTGATGTGAGCAGAAACTGGAAATAAATATTGTAAAAGTATTTGAGTGCATTGATGTTAAGAGGCCTCTCAGCTGTTTTCTTTATTTTCATTTTACAGTCAAAGAGTTCCTGCAAAGATGTTTGTCAGTTTTTATTTCAATCTTTCAATGCAGTTATGTTGACAAAATGTTGGGATATCCTAATTTGACTTCACAACACTATTTTAAAAGAAAAGAAAAGAAAAAAGAAAGATATAGATGCTAAACAAACTGTGTGAAATTACTAAATATTGGTAGAAGCAAACTTGTTTGTTTGTTGGAGAAAAAAAAAATCAACATTCGATGATTTTGCAAAAAACCCTGCATTGAAAATAGCTTATATCATTTTGTATGTCATATGCCAGTGTCTTTCATTCAAAATTCTCTCTCAACACTATCTGCACAAAGCAGCTATAACCTCCATGCTACTGTCTAAATGTAGAACACATTACTTTGTGCGAAGGGTTGTCATTGAGTGTAATCTGTACATAAGGGATACTTGACAAGCACTGTTTCTCTCCTCGAAGAACTCAGTACTAAACAGTCAGCACTGCGTTAAAACACATTTAATGTTCTCACCATCCACACAGGAAGGTTTGTTGCGTGTCGTCCCGGCCACTTTCCCTGGTAAACAGGAGCACTTGACTGTCTGAGAGCGCTCCTCAATACGATTCTTGTTACAGCATCGGTGGGCGGCTATCACCTCACACGTCCCACCCTCTGCAAAAAGAGAAACAGATACAGGTCAGTAAATGTAAAAGACTAAAGGAAACGTGTCATAGAAAATTAAATGAAGCAACCCTGGGAACCTGCTGCATGTGTTTTTGCGAAAAATTTGAAACGAGCAACATTAATGTAAATGAAAGATGAGCTTTGGGGAGCTCCGACTGCCGCACATCATGTCATGTGAAGCAAGCTTCAGTAGAATCACTGGGCACTTAGACTGTAAGTATGTGTAACAAATTGGCCCTCAAGGCATCTCAATTATAGCATCTAATTGCTTCACACTCAGTGCTGACTGTCCTCGCTCCATACCAATCAGCCCATGATGGCTATCATGGAGAACATCACACACAATGTATTAATGTGGCTGTTTTTGCATCCTTGAATCTTCATTATATGTTGTCAGTATGATTAAAAAGGGATGATTCTTTTGTCTCGACTCCCCCAGTGAAGACCTGGCAGTCATGACGGCTTTGATAGCTGACACACTGGACTCAGCCAATACAGTGTTTGGCTATACTACACTAAAGCATTAACTCCAAAGCATAGGTGACATCAGTCAGAGCAAAAGCTGTACAATAGGTCCCTGTGTGACAAAGGAGGATGTCAAAAAAATTCTGTGAAAAGAGAAGCCGATGGCGGCAATGGGTCAAAATAACAATAGGGAGGATTGCCCAGGGGAGGGTGAGGGGGTGATGGAGCTGAGGGACATCCTGAAATGAGTGAGACAGGCAGAGAGAGAGCTAGAGGACAAGGTGTGTCTGGCTGCCAGGGACTGGCCATGCCAGTGAGTAATGAGGGAGCCACTGGAAGTGCCCCCTTCACACAATTATAAAGCGTGGGGCTAATGCAGCCAGCGGAGCTGGAGGAGAGAGGCCCTCCATCACTGCTCTCCCCTTTTCTTACGCCCCAGGAAAAACTCTTTATCTTCCCTTGACAGCCACCGCAACAGACACCAGCATCCAACAATTAAACTGGAGCTCATCCCAGGACAGGGGAGAGGAGAGGAAAGGAGAGTTCAACTTATCCCCTCCAATATACACAATGGATAGAGTGCAAAAAGAGGGGGAGACAACCAAATGCCACATTTCATCTTGTCTGTGCATTATTTTACTTTGCTGTACCACGTTTTAAAGAGCACATCCTGCTCCGGTGAGGAGATGCATTTGCTTCCAGTGGCATGACAACAACCTGTGTGTGTTTCTCTGGCTGAGTTGGTTGTGCAAATGTTTGAAATGGCTTGGGTCATGAATTACGGAACTGAGCTCCCAGCAGCCGAGACAAGTTTGGCAACAGTTTTCTTCTCCCATTCCCATCAATGTCTGCCTTGGCCAGACCAAAGGCCGACGAGTTCTGGATTAAAAGGCAAACATTTGCAGTCCTGCTGGACCATGCTGTCGTGCAGTATTAATGTCACTCTCTCGGCCCTTGTTGTTAGATATTTGTGGGCAGGAGGAGGCAGACTATAAAAGTGAGGAGAAAAATCCCTTGAGTGTGCTAAAACCCGAAACCCCACGATGTGTTGGCTTGTTGAATATTTTACTGACAGCTTCCTGACCTGCAGACTTACTTTCAAGTCAAAACAGATCACTAAATAAGTGAGAGCTCTGTGTTGCGTCACAGAATACTGAATACTGAATCCCCTCAGCAAGGAGGTTAGCACTCCAAAGCTCTTACCAGTAAACATCTGACAAGGGACAACAAAAATCAGTCCCTCTCATATTCATATCTTTAGTCTGAATAGAATGTGACTTGTCCGGATATGTGACTTTTGGATTTAGTTCTTACTAAAGTTAGACATGCAAATGTACGTATTAAAATTCGGTGTTGTCCCGATTCATCAAATCATGGCAAATAAGTCCAGTTATCACTACAGGTTATGAAGTTTATTTTAGTCGACAAGACACTGTTCTTTGAGGGAGTTCTCAAAAATTCTGGGCAGCAACAAGGAGGGATAAACAATCCCCCGAACAGAGTACAGAGTCAAGGATTGCTGTGAACACAGAGAAACAGTGCAGCTTAGCAAGTCAGCAGTATCAAAGCTTCAGTCTCATAAGGAGGCTGCAGAGACATTTTAGGACACAAATAGACTTATAGTTCCCTGAAAAGATGAACCAATGAGCCAATAATTTTGGGCAAAGATGAAACAACTGAGGCTGGATACTTGATTTATGGGCAGCCTCAATGTCTGAAATAATGTAGTGCTCCAAACTAAATCTTGTTGTAAAAGTTGTCTGAAATCACTGAAGACTTTTATTTATCTAAGTCAGCTTTATTTCTGTAGACTTGACTTTGAGTGATCACTAAGAAAAATTCCACGACCAGATTTTATATCGTATCATTCGGGTAGTTACAGACAAGTCCAGGTGTTGGGAAGAATCACATTTATAAGTAATTTATCATGAGGTCAGAATGATTTAGGAATAGTTGTCTGACCTAAATGCAAAATTATTATAAAATTACAATTACACAAACATTGACTCCAGAACACATAGTATGCCATGTATGTTTTTAGTGTGCCGGTTGATGCACTTTCACTTTAAGAAATAGAAAGAAAGGCACATTCAACATTGTTACTGCACTTTCTCTGTACACAAATGTGCTATGATTGGCAAAATTATCATCATGTACGATAAAGAATGAACAATTTGTCAGGGTAAAGCTTGTTAAAGCTGATGCTTCAGTGAAAAACAGCTACACTGTTGGTGGCATGTTTTAGACCTCTGAGTGAATTCAACTAAGTTGGACATAGCATATTAAGTTTTTATAATCATTATAACACTTATTGTGATTATTACCATCAGACTTGAGGAATATGTCTAAGCACATGTCGGTGTCATCAATCGGATGAGGTCCAGCCATCAGCCAGTTGGACATTAGGTGCGATCACTATAAACCATCTGGTATGCGGAGGAGAGAGCAGTGTAAATGGCTTCATGATGACTCTACTGGGCCAGTTGCTAGAGCCACTTAGACGATAAATGGCCACTTGGACTAGACATAATCTCATCCAGGTAGCTGGGAGCTCAGGGTGAGGTAAATGACCATCCATTATCTGCATATAAATTTGTTGGTGTGCTTATTTATGCATACAATAACATCTTGTGGTATTTCATAAATAGATGTTTTCCGCCCAAGTGCACAGTGGCAACTGTGTGCAGTCTGGTGCGATGTGGGATCACAACAACTTGAGACATGGCTGCGGTCTTGATGGATGTAGTGCTTGGAGCCTGTCAGGCAGCTAAAGGGGTTAAACCAACCCGCTAAGATGGAGTGGGTGGCTGTGCACTCTAGCCTTTGGTGAGGGAAGGTGAAGGGCATCGATGGGACCATTGACTGGTCATTTTTCTCTCTGCGGCCTACAGTGACAGCAGCCATTAAAAGACTGGATGAGGTGATTATGTTTAAGGAAATCGATGCTTCATTGTTTTCAGCTTAGCCCAATGGCCAATTAGGAGCTGTTAATGAGGGAAGGTTGTAAAATGTGGAGATAGATAGGGGGGAAAGGAATGGGAGCGCAAGATAACAAGCCTCATATTGGAGAGTTCAGATGACACAGCTCAGATTTGTTCGCACAGGTAAAGCTAGAAACACTTTAAATGAAGCAAAAATGCAAATTTCCACACATAACTGGCTTTTTACTCACATATATAATAATGCATCTCATTGACAAATCAGATCTTCCTCCACCATCTGGAACTACAAGACGCAATCCATGACTATATTATTGCTGTGTATATACTCAAGGTCACAGCAGCATGACAGTTTATTCTACATCCCCAAAAGACTTCAGGCTCACAGGAATCAAAGTGACAGTTTCTTTTCATCCTCTGAGTGACGAAGAATGCTGGAAACTGATTGCCTTTTGATCTCAGCGCATTGGAATTTTTTTTGACGGAGAAAAATGCAGGTGCTTGTGACAATGTCACCACACCAGGAAAAAACAAACTCTTTCCGCTACACCTTGGCTCAGCTTGAGCGTCAACAACTATAATCTATGCAGAGTGGCCAAGAGCAGTAATCACTGGCTCACCATCAGCAAGCATTTCTGTCACCTCCCCTCTCTCTCTCTCTCTCTCCAGCTCCCTTTATCTCCCTCTCTCGAACACTCTCACTGTTACAGTTATTAAGTAATGACATATGGCCGAGGGAAGGGACACAGTCGGGAAAACTTAAGCCTCTCAAGGACTCGTCATAACAAGTTAATCAGTGCACACTTGCCTTTTCCGCCCGCTGAAGGGCCTGTTTTGTTTTGCCAAGCAGACAGGTGCTGCATCAACCACAGTCCATCTTTCCTAACAATGCCGCTTCCTCTGTGGGCTCATTGTTGTTCCCCAGTGCTTCTGTGTAACTGACAGGTATCCACTGTCTACAACTTCTAATTGTCAATTTAAATCGCAGGTGGCAGCAGGAATTATGGTCCCCATTGTCACTAAATAAATGTAGACATGTGTAGAGCCAAGAAATGTAAATTTCACACTCGGAGTGAGAGCTGCATTTCAAATTACTGCTGAAAATGATGCACATTTGGAAGACAAACTGAGACTCTCACAGTTGTCAAATGCCTTCCTCTTTTTTTTTTTAAACAAGTGAACAAAGTTACTTTGTACTGTGCGCCAGAGAAGTCAGTTCAAACCCTCACAAAGTTTTATTAAGCAGCAGATTGTTTATTGAGCTGATTTCTCTCTGTCAACTTCTCTTTCTGTAAAATCATGCATAATGGAAAACAACCCTTTTTTTTTCATTACTTCTGATACACAGTTTTCAATCAGATGCATTTCATTATTTTAAAAGTTGTCAGATATGTTTAAAATTTAAAAAGGCCTGTACTGTTTCTCTCGATTAGTTTTATGTTTTTCAGATTGGAGGAAAGGGGAGAAAAAAAAGAAGAGGATATTAATGATTTGTTTCAAGAGGAAAAGGCATCAAAGTGACTGTGGGCCAGCTGTCCCGCTGCATATATGTTTAATGATGCTCATCAGAATTTAGCTTTTCAT